GTTACTTGCCCGAGATTCGATCGTCGGTATACCGATACCTTGTTCAATCTCGTTACCGGCAAGTCACTTTACTCGTTCCGTAACACATCACCTCGTGATCAACTCATTGGTCACATTGCGCATATGATGATGTCCTACCGAGTGGGCCCAGAGATACCTCTCCGTTTACACGGAGTGACAAATCCCAGTCTCGATCCGCATAAAACAATAGATACTTTCGGAGATACCTGTAGTGTACCTTTATAGTCACCCAGTTACGTTGTGACGTTTGATACACCCAAGGCACTCCTACGGTATCCAGGAGTTACACGATCTCATGGTCAAAGGAAGAGATACTTGACATTGGCAAAGCTCTAGCAAACGAACTACACGATCTTTGTGCTATGCTTAGGATTGGGTCTTGTCCATCACATCATTCTCCTAATGATGTGATCCCGTTATCAACGACATCCAATGTCCATAGCCAGGAAACCATGACTATCTGTTGATCACAACGAGCTAGTCAACTAGAGGCTCACTAGGGACATATTGTGGTCTATGTATTCACACGTGTATTACGATTTCCGGATAATACAGTTATAGCATGAATAAAAGACAATTATCATGAACAAGGAAATATAATAATAACACTTTTATTATTGCCTCTAGGGCATATTTCCAACACGTAATCCATCAACATGACTTGGAGGCATGAGCAAAAACTATCGACGAACTATTCGTCATCAACCATGACTTGATCACCTTCCAAAACATCTAATGGGTGTTTGGTTTTGCTCTCCACCTCCACCACGACGGCCTCTCCATTCGAATCCGCCATGATCTGGTCCTCCACCACCACAACCTCTCCACGCTCCTCACCTTCAGCCATCGCTTATGTTTCTTCTATGCAGGATGGAGTGCTTCATCCGTTGCTGTATATTGATGAAAGAAGAATAAGAAGAATAGCCAGCAAGAAGAGGAGTCCGAAGGAACGAGAGGAGCATGCAGAGTGCCAAATGTGTTCACACCTACCAAAAGTAAATGTGTTCGCACTATGCATAAAGCTTTTCCACCCCGCGTACACACCTGCGAAGGAAAAAAAGGATGGACAAAAAATTGGGGGTTTGATTGCCGTTACCACGCCCTAATTTATTAACCAAACATGACTAAAATCTCTCGGGTGGTGGAAATGCATGAGAATCAAACCACGCCGAGTAAACTTTGACGAAGGGAGTACTTAAAGCGAAGAGGCATGATGCATTTATTCAGTTATTCATGCAAAAAAATGGCCACCAATTGTATTTTTATTCAACAAGAGCTTGGTATGTCAAGGTAAATTACACATGAACCAGATGACTAAAAAAAACTTTTGCCAGATCTTCTGACAATGCAACCTAATAGACCATTGGACATAGGAAAACTACTAAGCGGAAATGTACAACGTGCAAAGATTAGTTGCGGAATGCAGATATTACTAGCAAAGAATGACACTTTTGAAGCAATACAGGCATAATAATGTTTATGCTTCCATACTAAGCAAAACAACACCAATGTTTGTACCTAAAATATGATGAGAAAGTAACAATTTGATAATCCACAAGCTTAAGGGCATCACCAATGCCAACCCGCAATTTTCCTCCTGTACCCGTCCGCGGACGTAGGGGGTGGGGGGGGCACTAATGTCGGAGGCCACCATCCAACGCTGCTTGCATATATTTCAACAACATTTTGGACCAACTGGACGAAATTCGTGCAAACCAGACGGATTTTGAAATAAACCCAAAGAGATTCATGCAAACATGGTGGATTTCATATAAACCAGAAGGAGCGATGGCTCTACCTGAGGGGCGGCGATGTACCGTACACTACTCTTCCTCATTGCCGGTGACGCCTGCGGACGTGCCGGCTTCGTGGTCATGGCGGTGGGGCGCAGCTGGCGATGTCCTCCTCGTCGTCGGTCTTGCCCTACACCTCATCCGCTGCCTCGTTGAACTCCTTGTAGGCGGCATGCAGTTTAGCCCGACGCTAGCGGTACCGCCAGAGGGCGAGGTAGATCTCGCGGGATGCTCTTGAGATTATTGGTTAAATAGGATGCTCTTGAGATTATTTCTCATGCCAACATGGCATGCCTGAGCGAAAAATGTGCCACTGTTTGACAGGACCATGCCTTGTTAGAGGAGGTTTCTGGTTGGATAAATGAGAAGGCCGTGATGCCTATTTGGGTTAAGATGACTCCTAACATTGTAGGTATTACAGATGGAACTTGAGCTTCCATATTACATCTGTCGAGTAATTAGCAGTCACATATCTTCTGTGTTCTTGATTGTTATATGGTGTCAACAACTGATGAAGTTCTAAATTATTATTTATATCATTGCCTACTTTTCAAATGTTTAGTTTCTCTCTTCATTGATCTTAGTAGTTTGGTGTTCTCCGGTCGTACATTTGGTGATCCTAACCAGAAGCTAGCTGTTAGAGAATGACAATGGACTATTCATGTAAGATAGTTTTTGTCCAACATTGCATTGTTCTATATATCTTCTCTGGCTTGTTTGGCTTTGACATCAATATGGGACAGGGTGGGCGATCATGGTGGGATTAGGCATGTGAATTCTGGTTTTAGTTTCACTTCCATGTTTGGTAAGACAGACAAAAATTATGAATGGCTGATTTGTATCTTGAAATGCATCCTGTGACGGATCATCATGAAGTGCCAAGGTATATTAAACTTTCTAAAATGACAGGAGTTCAACCCTCAAACTCATAATCCACCCCACCACCCCTCCCTAATTACCGTCCCTCCAGCCAAACAACCCCGCAATTTCTAATTTTATGTTCTGTTTGCTGTATTAAACACGAGTCCTGTTCATGTTGCATTGTGAAGATAAGATATGTAGTGCACAATTGATGATAATATTTCAGTCTTAACATTCATTAGCCCATGGTCCACATTAGCATGTCCACCTAGCTGCTAGGCACATTACGTCATTGTGCACACATCTGCTCCTCCTGCTTAAAAGGAAAAGAAGGGCACCTAGATGGCCCGCGATTCCTGGACATCGTGATGCCTTAGTTTCACTGAGCGCTTGTTTCTCTTCGAATCGCTCCAATTTCTTTTGACGCTGCAATTCCTAATTGTCTATTATGCTATTTCGTCGTGCCTTGTCACTTCAATCACCGAATCATCAGGCATTGATACCGACACCGACCAACTCTGTTTAGGCATGTGAACGGTTATCCTTAGTAAATCATGCTTTTAGCATTTTATTTTTAGTTCTTCCACATCGCATTGTTGCCCTGTTAGGGGCCATAAAGGGTATCATTGCTACACCTGGTCTCATTTTCTAGAAGAAACCGGGTTGGGGCCTTTTGCTCTAAAAAGAAGCGGGTGAGAGTGAATACTTGACACTGTGAATGAAAACCATATTATGTCAAGTTCAATAAACATTTCTGATTAGAAAAATCGAGTTTGTACAAAAAAAATTCCGTTGCAATGCCATCGACAAACATCACCATCGTGAGTGGCAGCAGCTTCACTTCATCCCCTCTCCATACATGGGACGAGAAAATATGTATTAGAAGAACCGATATTTATAGCAATATAATCATAAGTCGCATGCAACATCCACGTGATGAATTACAATTTATTTGAATGGTACTATCTCTATATATAATTTTTTTGGCCCGTGGCAACGCACGGGCATTATACTAATTTAAATAATAGTTAAAACATCAATAAATAAAAATTGAATTGAAGTCAGAGAGGCATCTAGCTGCACTCCTGGTGGCTTATCCCTTCAAACATGAGCTAGCTCATGAGCCATAGCGGTCGACTCATGATAACAGTGTTGAAAAATAATCTTGTGACTACCAGAGGGGATTTGCATACTGTTAACGTTAAAAAAAACTAAGACTGACGAAACAGGCCACACTTCCACAATTTCTCCAACCAGCTCCCATACTTCCTTGAAACAAAGGACTCGCAAGCTGCTTACACAGATGTGCCCCAACACATGCTTCAGGTCAATGTGGAGAAAGAGCAAGAAGCCTTCAGATCCTTACTATCACCCTTGCGGCTCCTGTACTTCTACAACATCCTCCTCCCCCTATTTTTCTTAACACACATAAAAGGATCTGTCCAAACTAAAATGGCGAACAAAATTGTTGCCACAACAGTGTGTTTTGACCTTTCGTGGTGGGTGCATCCCACTTATAGGAGGACAAAGCCCACATCAGACTCCACCACGATCCCGTTTGTGCAATCGGTAGCGACAGACCAAACGTCTTCCTCAAATAACAAATCGATTTAATGAGGCACATCATAATTTTACAAACATACAACTGAATCAACAGGAAACCATAGCAAATAGAGTATGAACATTTATAGCTCAACGGTGGACCATGCGCAAGTGAAACCTCCCATGGAGCAAGCAACACCAGTGACGTGCTAGCGGTAAATGGCCCCAGCAACCGCCCAGCCAGCCGTGCATAAACTTGGAGGAGATGCATGTAGGCATAACTGCAAGTTTGTGTTGGTTAGGATTAATTAGCAGGAGTTGTCTTGTTGTGAGTCAAGTTAGTTTACAAGTTCTTGGAAATGAGTCTTGCTTCGGTACACCTCCCCTTAAAAGTTTGCACGAATCTTAAAGTTATTTAATAAAGCTATGATCATATTAGCATGCAGATCAAAAATATTGAGTAGTCTAATTTGATTACAAAAGATTATATTATCATTCTTTATTGAAGGGTACCTTCTGATCTTCACGATTAATCTATGCCGGGATCCTTAAACTTTTCTGAGAGGGGGGGGGGGGGTACCAAAGAAAAGTTTGATAGATCGTACTAATAAAATGTGCCAATATATAACTAGAAGTCAGTGAAGCCGATACTACCACATAAGAAAGCTTGTGCAACCATGTGGCCCGCTTGACATGCATGAGTACATTTAGTGATCACAATCAACCGAACATTTATGTTTCAAGCTACAGGTGTAGTGGTGCAAACACAAAAATAGATGAATCCTACCATGTAGGTACCACAGCAAGCTGAGAAACAAAGAAGGCCGGCCAATCCATTTCAAAGGGCACAATCTTTCCCCGATTGAGGCGACGAGTGTGTGGTGAATCTATCACCTCTTGCACCACCCCCGTATTGATATCAATAACGTAGGCATCATGATGGTTGTCCTTGACGATCAACATTCCGTTCTTCTCTCCCAAGCAAGTGTAAAGAACTTTTCCTTGAGTCTTCTTCTCATTTTTCTTCTGGTTCGGTTGTTTTAGCTTGCGTGCCAAGGCATGGTGCCACCTCCCGTTGTTGTGAGATGTGCATATCTGCAACCAGTAACCTCCTTTGTTCAAGTAGACCAACATGAGCCTCCCCTTCCCGTTGACAGCGAGGTAGGGTGCATCATAAGTAGGGCGACCAAAGTAGCTATCGATCCGTCCCATGTCCAACAAGTTTGTAAAGGACACGTGATCAGTCCGGGCACCTACATCTAGCGTGTACAAGCCCGATGTGCTCGAAAAGAGCCAATGCGCCATTCCGCGGCACACCACCGCGTTGTGCTGCCTAAGCACCATATAGATGCTCTCGCTCTTGTTCTTTAGACCCCCGAAGGATATTTTCCATCCCGACTCATTGGCCGATGAAATTGTTTGGAGATTGTACTGCATCATGTTCACATCGATGGTCAGGATCATCACCTTGAAAAAGGGCAACTGCTGCTCCTCGGGGTGGTCCCTCGAGCTCGCACAGTCTCTAGCCGTCAGTATAGCATAGCCAACCAGGTGGTTGTTGTCGGAACTCCATGTATGCTCTAGAGGGGGGAGCACGTCGAATGTGCCGGCGATCAGGTTGCACACGCCAAGGAGGCCGCAACCCTGATACCGGTTCAGGCGCACGAGGAGGAGGCCATGGCGTGAGGTGAGCGGCACCGGCTGGTTAAACTTGTCGTTGATGTTGGGGACGAGGGAGCCAAGGAAACGGCGACTGGGGTCCAGAACAGGACGCGGCCCTGGAATGAAGGGGACGCCGTCGCTGCACCGTTGCTGCGTAAAGAAGCCAACAAAGGGATAACATGCGTCCTCCGGCAAGCAGCGGCGAAGGAAGGTGGGGTTGGCGACGACAAGGCGGCACCAACCCTTGCATGCCGTCGCGCAGCGGAAGAGGGTGGCTACGTCTTTGACACGTTCGAGAACCTCAAGGACAAGGTCGTCCGGCAGCGACGCCAAGGCCATCTTTCTTCGATCAATCTATGCACGGCTCTAGGGAGGCACAAAAGCAGCTAATCGATTAGCCGGGTATATATAGTAGGAGTAGTATATTTAATCTTGATTGTTTCGCGATGTTTGTACACGAGTCCGGATACTAGTTCCTCCCGATCACGGCACGAGCTACCTATAGCCTGCTGATTACCTTCATATGTGGATTGTGGTGCGTACGTACTCCTCAAGAGGAGACTAATTATGGGCCCCGATCCACCTCTTTTTTTTACTATATATAAGGAGTGACCAGAGGTTTGGTATACCTCCTCTCGCGACTCTTTCTCAAAAAAAAAAAAAAACCTCCTCTCGCGACTCGTTCAAAGGTTTTCTTTCCTCCTGTATCGACCGATCCACCCGCCTCTCAAGCCAGACAGCTGGCCTATCTCCCTTCGACGGTGAGAAGTAAAGCACATGGGGTTTTTTCGACAAAGGGTGAATTTTATTAACTTAAAATGAAACATTAAGAAAATACAAAACATAATAAGTACATGTCTGGCCTCTGCATAGGTAGGATGCATACAACCAACATCAAACACACACACACAGAAACACGACGGCAAACAACCAAGGCATATACAAGACAAAAGGCTATGTGTAGGCAAGGAGAAAAAAAAGCCCAAAGCGATCAAATCCGCAATCGGCAAACTATAACGATGACCATATTCGCACCAATCATCTCACATCATCACACAGACGATGATGTTCTTCAACAGTAACGCCTTCAGAAAGGGAGTGACACTTAAGCTTTGCCGTCACTGGATCTAGGCCAGAATCTAGGTTTATACCCTGAAGAACCACTTCGACCATATCCGAGTAATGTCTTCAACAAGGTAACGGTATACAAACATCCCCATTGCTAGGTGTGACCAACTTGGGTTAGACCCAGGCTTTCATAACGGAGCTCAATAATAGTAGGGGCTCGAGTAGCACCATTTGTTGTAAGACGTGATATTGACAAAGACGATGGTGGTGAAGTCGTTAAAGTCGTCGTAGGATAGGTTGTGGAGCTTCTCAAACGCAAGGTCGCCCATGAAGGGCTTGACCGTGGCGTCTAATGTAGTGACATAGTTGTTTAGGTTCCGCTCGTAGACATAGTTGTAGTTGTAGGTGTAGACATCCGATTTTGTCATGGTCAAAAACTTAATTAAGATGACTTCAAATGGAAAAGTGCACAACATGAGAAAGTTTTGTATCGTCGAAATGAGAAACTTTGATGTTTGGGTCATCACCATCTGATCTCATCTAAAGAGCTGAAAGTATGCTCACAATACAAAGATTTTGTATTCTGAGTATTGTTCGGCCAATTACGCCTCCAAGACGGCCTCATATGAGAACATGTTCTACACGGACTGTTTTCACCTCGTTGAAACGGTAGATTTTGATATAAAAATCGTCTCATTCTGAATTCTTACACAAAAGTTAGAGCCAAAACAATATGCTATATAAATCTGCCCCGGAAGTTCCGGACAAAAGTTTCAGGGGAATCCCAAAAGTTCCAGGATTTACAGAAACATTGCACCCAATGTGCGCTGAGAAAACTGCAGTTTCAATATTTTTTGCAGATTTGCAGACCCAAAACCAATATCAAGATGACCTCGGATGAACAAAAATTCTACATACTAATTTTTCTCCGTTTCAAGATGAAAAACTTTGCTTTTTTGGATCATCATGATCCGAAGCCATATGCGACCTGCAGGTTCAGTGCAAGAGGGCTACTTGATATAGTTTGAGTCCGGAAGTTCCGGGTCGAACCGGAAGTTCCGGACCTCTTATTCCGAGTTAGGTTAACTTTCAATGTTTTCGACGGGATATGGGTCCTTTTCTTGTATGGGGAGTCCAGCCGCCTCATATAAATGTAAGGGGTGATGGCCGATTGAAACAACACATAATCGAACAAATCAAGCTACCACCTTTTATCTTTATCTTTATCTTTTCCTTCTCCCTTGTTCTTCTTCTTTCTCATTCTTCGTCTTGGAGGGCAGCAATCCACAAGGCCCTAAGGGCGATCAAGTCGACCTAGGGCATCCCATAGCCGCCGCGTGCCCTGACGGGTCCCTCCCGGGCATGTGGGGTTTCGGGTCTACAAAAGCGTCCACCGGATTTCTTGTGTACCGCACTTCCGGCCGGGTCTCTTTCTGCATAAGCTGCGATGCATCACCTCCGGTGTCGAGAGTATATGGTGATATGTTCGTGTGCTAACACACTTTTTGCTGACTCCGCTGGAGACGAAGCGTTGAACTATCTCTAGCTCGTTCTTCCTAGGAAGAGATCGTCATCTAGGGTTTGCAATCTACGAAGATAATATGAGTAGCCAACTCACCTATGTAGACGCAAATAATTCATATGTTGTTATTAGATCGCTTAATGAGCATAATGTACCGGCTAGCCCTAGTTTTATCAATCATGCATCTAATTAGGTGCAAGGGCCGATTTAAAGTAACTTACATGCTTCAACTTCTTATGATACTAGTAACATGCACCATATGTATTCCAACTCTCATGCATCAGCAACCCCAGAAATTCATATGCCGATCAACAACATGATGAGTTCGGTTAATCAACTTGAAACACCTCACATAAGAACTTCCAATGGTATGCAACAAAGTGTTTCACCTTTTTATTCAGCGGCAGTCATCCTCCTCTGGTCCATTTCTCTTCTCCACACCACGCCCTCCATGGCCTCCTGGCACTCCAAAGCCCTCTAGGACAACCTCTCGTCCGAGCAGAAGAAGGAGATGGCCACCATTGCTGCCGGCTAGCAGGCCTGTAGGCAGACGGAGGCTGATGACATCCCAATGGAGGACACGTCCGAGGACGAGCTGACCCCACCATCCTCGACGGTGCATCCAGGCATCACCATCGGCGAGGACCGTTCCCACTACATGGACATGCCGCAGGAGGAGCAGGAGGCCAAGTTCCGACAGGTGTAGGTCGACGAGGACTACAGCCTTGGCCTCCTAGATGAGCACTGGCCTGCGAAGGGAGCAACTCGCCGCATGCATGGACATCGTACCAGACGTGGACGTGGTGGAGCAGGAGGCACTGCTCTACTCCTACTGCTCCACCCGTGACATCCACAGTGACCGCTAGCTGTACCGCCACCATCAGGCAGAATTACAGGTCGCCTTTAAGGAGACTGATGAGGCGGAGGACGAGGTGTTCGGCAAGAGCGACGACGAGGAGCACACCGCCATCTCCGCCACGGCCGTGCCCCGTCGCCACGACCACAAAGTTGGCACGTCCGCGGGCGCCGCCGACAGCTAGGAAGAGTAGTGCATGGTAGGTCTCCGCAGCTCGGGGCCGAAGAAGGCCACCCCTCCTTCCCTCCTGCTGATGCTAAGCTTGGCGGATTAATCATCGCCGGTCTATTGGCCGCTCATGTTGCCGTGGCGGAGGCAGAGCTGGAGAGCGTTGATGCGGAACTAGAAAAGATGAAAGCAGGAGCCAGAGCTTCAGTTCTCAGGGTTTACGGTCGGACATGAGGAACGGGCGCCGGCAATCATTTAGATTATGTTGAGAGTGGAGTTTAGTTAAAATTTATCCAAAATATAATGAATTTTCTCCGGTTTATATTAAAAAATGTCTGAATTAAAATGAGTGTGCTCCGGTTTATATGAAAATTTGCCAGGTTTGCATGAATTTCGTCTCGTTTGTTGAAATGTGTTTTCCATTGTATGCGGGCAGTGTTGGATGGCCAGCTCGAGCATTTCGTATCCGCGGACTGCCCCCCCCCCCCACCACCACCCCCGCAGTGCGCGGACAAATTCAGGAGATAATTTGCGGGCCAGCATTGAAGATGTCCTTACGTATTACTGCTTTATCTTTTACAAACCACCAGTTTCGATTATAATTTTTTTTTGAAAAGAAGGATGTACCCCCGGCCTCTCCATCCGGGCGATGCAGCCATTTTATTATAATTACCGGAGTGTATTAACAAATTATGCATATATTAATCAACTTTCTTAAATCAATGTGTAAATTTTGCTTGGGTATCTTCGTAAAACATGAGATGTGTTTTAGTGCTGATCAGAACCAATTAAGATCTTGTTTCCATGAGACTCATGGCCGCTCAGCAATAGCTCGGTGCATGTGTATCGAGGAAAAGCACTTCCGGTTTAGGCCTCACATTGTACCTAGGTTGCATTATTACTAGAACTTAGCCCGCAATAATTGGCAAAAGGTTAGATGCAATTTGCCAAACCAAATACTCAACAACAATTGCTAGAGTATTACTCGATCTTATTGCACAACTGTATTTCCTCACATATACTAGGCATTATTTTCATTTCCCAGGACAGTAAATATGCATGTAAGCAATTTGACTAGGCTGGAAAATTAAGGAGCGGGTAAAGGAGGAGGGGATGTCCTGGCCCGTAGTATGTCTTTTGAAGACGAGGATTTTTTACACTCCCTCGTGCACTCATCCATGGTCGACTAGCAGATCGAATCTACCAAACAACAGTCGCATAGTCCATGAGCGCCGCAATGAATCCAACTCTCGTGAGCGCATAGTCCGTTTGGTAAATTGATCTTCTCGATATCCATGTCAACCATGATTCGGCCTATGGAATAACAAACAAATATTCAATTGTTATCCAATTGTATACTTTAGAGTAGAATAAATAAACACACAAGAGATTAAACAAAAAAACCCTCCTTACTAGCTGTACTACATATAGACTTCCAAGAGAAGTGAAGAAATAAAAATTGATTGGTGTGCTTACATTGTACAACAGTAGGAGAGCATACGAGCTGTAGAGACACGAGGGATAGTGCAAGGATGCGAATTGTGTACTTGTCCATACCCCACCTGATAAAACACTAGGTTGTCAATCACTTAGGTTGTTAAAAAAATACCTGCGAAAAAAAATCACTTTGGTTGTTGATGTGAAATATTTGCTAGCAACACATGACATGACCCGTATATATAGAGAGAGAGGTTAAGAGAAGAGAGATCCGATGCTATAGCTCAT